GAAGAGAGACAGGTGTGTGTTATTAAAGGGAGGACAGTCTTCTAGAGACAATATGAGAAAGAGGGAGAGAGAGGGAGCTCAAATTAACTTTAAACCTGTTACTCCCCCACCAGTCTGTCAATTTCACTTTGGTCGCTTTCTTTGTTCTGAGTTTTCAGTGTGACAGTATTGATTGCCCTCTCTTATTACACAAGAGAATACAGATATATCTGTGTGACTGACTGCTGTACAGGTGCTTTTATAAAGTTCAGCCATATTCTTGCCAACATTCAAGGCAGGCTTTGTCCTCAAGGCACTATGATAGAGACTATTATTTTACAAAGTTGTGTGAATGTGCTCGGTTGTTTTTAATGTTATGTTAACTTCTACTATGGTTGCACAGAAACAAATACTGTGGTCAGAAACAGGATGCAGTAAGCAAAATTTCAATGTGTCATCAAATTAGGTTCCTTAAAAACATGTAACTGTGCAAACAAACCTCAGAAATCACTGGTTATGAAATACAGCCATGTACCTAATATTCTCTTAATCATGTTGCAAATATTGAAGAACACTGATCATTGTTTTGATGTATAGTGCAAAAAAAGCTTTTGGTTCAGATAAGATTTTATCTGATTTTATAAAACCATTGCTGAGTAATGCTCAGCAATGGTTTTATAAAACCTATCCGTCTACCTTATTCCCCCTTTTTCATTCCTCTTGGCCACTGCTGTGTAGGTGCATGTCAATGAATTAGGATATAATTGAAAAGGTAATTTATTTCAGTAACGTAACTTGAAATTTTAAACTTATTGTGTGGATTAATATTACAGAAAGGGATGCATTTCAAGCATTTCTTTCTGTTAGTTTAGACTATTATGTCTGAGGGACAATTAAAACCAATATTCCCTTTTAGATTATTTTTTTCAAATCCAGTCTAAATTTTAGACAATGTTTTGGATAACTAAGATGCACCATTTTTATTTCTGAATTTGAACAAAAGGTTCCTTGAAAAAGCTAAATCAGTTAAAAGCATAACATTTGGTCCATTCTTTATACGTCTAACATAGGGAATGGAAATGACAGTTCTGTTTTTGAGTACTTTTTTTTTATTTTTATTGGGTTGAAATCAGTATTAAAGCACTTCAGCTCGTTTTATGGCTGTGGACCGACTTTCAAAGAATCTTTAAAATTAAAGGCTCGTTCATGTTTTTTTATTGTTCGTGGAGAAACTGGGTTATAATTTGAATTGGTCTGTGAGTGGAAAGATTTAGTATCAGTGCTTGTGTACCCTATTATCAGTATGATTCATCCTTATAAAGTTGATCTGCAACTGATGCACCAGAAAATAAAACCCAGTAAAGTAATTTAAATTCTCAGCTAGTCATTTAATTGTATTTTACTACATTTGTGCATGTGGCTTTGTTTTTTTGTCACACGGTGACAAAGAAAGAGGACTTATTTGAAGCCATCATTGTTTTAGCACATTGGCAGTCAAACATTACTACACTGTCATAAAGGCTAGAAGCTATTTGCTGTGCAATAAATAGAAACAACTCACTTGGAAACAAATAAATTTTTACTCCTTGTTTTCTGCTGACATTTTTTTCTACAGATACTTAACTAATAATTATCTTAGAGTAAATTTCATCTGTCTAGATCAAAATGGTTTAATTATTTTCTTTGTAACATCGACTGGACACATACCTATGAAAGCAAATTAAAGGCAAGCGCTTTAAGTGCTGGAATTAAATTGATGAGAGCATATAGAACTTTTTAGAAAAAAAGGCCAAAATTATATGACTGAATGAATTTTGCACAAATGTTGATTTCAACAATTGCTCTTCTAATTGTACGAAAAAAATTGAAACTGGAAAATATGAAAAGAAAACAAATGGGACAAATTAATACTAGATTATGAGGAATTCAAGCCAATTTATTGCAATGCAGACATGCATTTAAAGTTCGACTCAATCAAATATCAATATGTGAATAACAAAGCATTTCAAGAATAAGACTAACACTGTCATTTTACGGCAAATATATCTAAATTTATTTGCTTCTCAGAAGTAAACTTATGTATTACAATAAATTGAGTAGCAGAAGCACCATTCTGGGTGTACAGGAATAAAAAAAAACTTAAAAGATGAAACCGATGGGGACCAAACGCTTGTTCTCATGGTAATCGGTAAATTGATACATTTATTAGACTCTGACAGAGAAGTAGGATGTGATGCTACAGAGATAATACCACCTCTGCCCTGGAGTCAAGTGAGATATTTAGACCACTGCATTCCATGCAAGTTGTATCACATGTTATGTCAGCTTTATATGCAGCTGCACCCATAAAAACCATTTCAGTAAGTTCTCTACTGCTCTTAGCTAATCTGAAGGGTGCAGAAATTTAGGAGGCCTCTGACTATTCACTCTCTAGGCAGCTACTAACTTGCACATCTCATGTACCATCCTCCATCTATTATTTTCATGGTTTGTCACTGCATGACTGAGTTCCAGTTGCTCCAACCTGCTTTCACTTTGTTTAAATACAATTTACAAATGTTTAATATATTAATAAGGATTTTTGCAAAGTGAATAATTTCTTTATATTTCTTTATATGTGGTTCACTGCTATCTTGACCAGCCTGGATGACTGAAATTCTTTGGAGATGGATGTTGGCGAAATTGTTGAAATCAATTATTTTGGAGGGCAACTCCAGGATTTCTGTCAATCTAGTGTTTTTGTCTACAGTGATCCAAATCTATGAGCACTTTCAAAAGGAAAATTTGTGGCATAAGTAGCTTTTTTAACTGGTGGTCGGTCGGAGTTTTTTGTGTTTTCTGGGAGTTTAAAAGCAGAACATTTAACAAATGGAATGCCTGTTTCACAACATTGTGGAAAAGCAATGACTGTGATATAGTAGGATCAAGGGTACACACTGTGAATATCCATGTATTCAAAGAAAAAACTCTTTTTAGATTTAAGCATATCTCAGGACTGTGTAGGCAAACATACAGGCCTTAAGTGTTAGTCCTTGGCAAAAATAAAAGCTTAAGGCTTGTGAGAATCAGAAAGGCAAAAAACTTTTTTCAGGCATGCGGCCAGGTTGGCAAATCACTAATCAGGCAACTGATCCAAGTAAACCTCCAACTGGCCCTCAGCCACCGGGCAATCCTTATTGTTGAACTATGCAACTGCGCTGTCTGTTGTGGCCTACTGCTGCATAACATATGGTCTTTGGCTTTTCATCTCTCCAGGGAGGAAACACCCACACAAACACATGCAAAAATGTTGTTTGCACACTACACACAGAGAGAGGGGCATGGAAATGCAGAAACAGACACCAAAATAGTAACTAAACATACAAAGCTCACATGCTAGTTTTCAGAAGAAACATTACAGAATGACCAACACAAGTAAACCCCAAGTGACAGGCCAAATGAATAAAACATGGAAACAGGGCAACCCCTCTTTGTTGAGCACCATTGCTCAGAGAAATTATGCGCCAGGATATAATCCCAGGAGGCAGCTTCAGATTTGGTCGAGTTTTGTGTCTGATGTGAGGCTCTACAGTTTGACCAGGATTGAAGGAGAAAGATCAAGAGAAGTTGTAATATTTCATTCACCTCTGCTGGTTAAGTTCATCTTCAAATATTTCATGCACCGAATTATTAGAATGAACACATTTATATATGGATGCACAACTTAAATATCTCAACAAAATTGCATAAAACTTTGAAACAGATCACCAGGACACATGCAGAGAAGCACTAACACGAACAAAACCTTACAGGCAGAGTCATAGCCATGCTCAATTCCACTTTGCCTTAAATCAAGGCTCAGCCAGGCCAATGCAGCAATCTATACTGCTCTGGGTGAATTAACGTTAGTAATAAGATATCATGGCTCTGATTGATCCTCTATTTCCATGTCCACACCATAAAATGACCCAAGCACAGCCACAGCACACCATCACTCTAATGCTGCATTGATTCCACTCTGAAGTTGGGCCGCAGATGAGGGTATGCATGAAAGTGGGCATGCAGGTACAGATGAGTGCAGAAAAGGCTCAGATATGGAGCTGTGCTGTTGTCGCACAGGCATATTGTAGATGGATGTTAATATTAAAAAGACAATTTCTATGTTTCCTTGGCTTCACTGTTTCTAAATCAGAGCCAGAAAGCTATTCAATTATTTATCAAATTGAAGCACTTTAGTTGTGTTTCATTGAATTCAGTTTATGATCAAATATTGCATAGCAGCACGGATTAATGCTATTTCCTGCCACAAAGTCGCAAAACAGAAAAAAAGCTAAATAATAATAATAATAATTACTACTTGGAAAAGTATCCAAGATCCTTGAAGGTCTTCATGGTATTTTATGACATTACCATAAACCTCAGTATTTTGGATTGGAATTTTATGTGAAACAAACACACATGTGAAACTGAATAAAAATAATGGATGGTCTTGGAGGCGGTAACTCTTCTGACTGATCCAATTTCAGCCAAAATCTGGTGAGAGCTTCCTCTTCTTCTGCTTTTTGAATCGACATTATGTTTTTCTTCTATTAGACTAAATCCAATGCGGACTGTCACTGGAACGGTGTATATCTTTATTATCACAACTTTCTGATTGGGAAAATATGCACAACCAACCAACTGGAATAATTTAATGTTTTTATTTTTCTACACACTTACCATTATTGGGATTCATAATCTAATTGGAAAAAAAAACAAGTAGCTCAGAGCAGGGGCGATTCTAGAATTTGCCCTGTAGGGGTGCTTAGCCCCCAGCAGGGCTAAGACCAATGAGAAGATAGTCGTTTGTGCGTTTTCTAAATCTAACTGCTTATTTACATCCATTCACAAACAAAATTAAGAGACATCTCAGTAATTTATAGAATAAAAGAACTGCTCATTTTACTCAAACATATACTTATAAAGAGTAAAATCAGAGAACCTTAATTTTTTTCCAGAGGTTTATAAACTCAGTGAAACAGAATCTCAAGAGTACATCATACCTGCCAACATCTGCTAACATTAATGAGACGCATGCAGCTGTGGAGTGACACAGTCCGAGTGGGATCTGCTCCCCTGGAAAATAAAATAAAATCTATACTCAAAACTACACATTTTCAGGCATTTGAAGAACATTTTACTAAAACCAGTTTATTATCAAGTCAGAATTTCAGGTAAATGAAACATGAAAACTTGTCATTAATCTTAACTTTATTTGGAAATCATACTTAGAAATTGCATTACCCTTATTTTTATCTGAATGTTATGTGGCTTTTGGCCTTTTTCTTTAAATAAGAATATTTGTCCATCTATGGAAAAGTACACATTACAAGTCAAGGTTTTACTATTTCAGTTCACAGTTGTAGAACTATCATTTTTAATTCATTGTTAAAATAAAATTGTGAAGGCTTAAAAAAAATAACCACTAAATATTTTAAAAAGACATTTATTTTGTATAATACACATGATTATACAACTCCTTAAAACTGGGCTAGATAAGCCACTGCTTGACATTAACAATTAACAGGGAGAGCCTGACTCAAACTACCTGGATGTCAGACAGCATCCGGGTCTCATTACGTGTCTCTGCTTATTTCCAGGCCCAAATGAGCAACTTTATGTTTAAAAACAAGCCCAGAAAAAGCGCAACCCACGACTTAAAAAATAATATATAGATAAATAAATAAACAAACCTAAAGTCACTTATAATAATCGAACTTGACAGAAACTCAAAAGAGTTCCTGATTGTCCAGCAACAAAATGCGCATCTCTCTCCTCTCTCCACTGTTTACGTTTCGGTTGTTGCTGACAACTGTTGCATAGAAACGGCGGTCGCTCCCCAAGGCACACAGAGGAAATACAATTACATTACAAAAAAGAAAATAGTAACGAACAGTGATTTGGATAAGTAACTTTAATCTGATTCCTGTATTTGAAATAGTAACGCATTAGATTACTCGTTATTGAAAGAAGAGGTACGTTACAACACAGTGCCAAGGTAGCACACATCGTCAGAATACTTGATTTGTAGGCCTATTACGTCACAGCGCTGCATGTATTCTTGTGCAGAGACGTCATAGGTTGTGATGTCACAAACTGCATTGTAACAGGGGTATAAATAACTCCGGCTTTGTGTTCTGCCTCGGTTCAAGGTAGTTCTAGAGGAGTCAGGATCGAGTTCAGTGCAAGACAGCAAATGGATTTACTTAGAAGAGATTTGCGATGTTTAGTCGATGGCCACGCCATCCCGGCCATCGGCAAATACATTTATCAAATTCAGGAGGAGGACTGGCTGGATCTTGAATTTTTGGACCTGGATCACAGGGAGGACGAGATACCTTTTGTGATATCTGTCGGAGGTTTTCTCAGATTTTGTTAAGGACGTTTTTGAGAACCTGAACTACGGATATGGTGATTTAAAAGCCATATTTGGGAACCAGGTCTCTCAGGCCTTCGCCCGGGCGATGGGAGTCGACGAGATCATCCAGGGAGAGCGTGCTGAAGTACTTGACATGCTCTTCTTGAAGCATGCGATACCTGCAGTCATGTCTCCTGTCAATGATGAAGACCCCATGTCGATCCTGAAGTTGGGTTTAGGGCTCAGTTCTTTGGTACAAGCCGTTATCAGTATCGTCCATGAATTGATGACAGCGAGGAGATACACCGAAGAACTGAGGACGTCCTTCCAGGAGCAGAGAAAGGACACAGTCCAACTTTTTGTCAACTCGTTGCTGTGTTTTGGCATCAGGGAGTCAAAGATTGTTTTGATTCCCTGATGGAGGCGCAGCAGCGTATTGTTCGCAACATCTGCACTGACATCGAGGGCCATCTGGCAGAAATCCAGGTGGACTGGGTCCCTAGCATGACAAAAAAGGTTTTCAGGGACCTGACAAAAACTCTTGGATGTTCTGCCAGATGAACCCTGGGGTTCATGGAGCATGAGATTGTTGACAACACGATTGTGCTGCGTCTTTTAAGCCAAATAGAAAAGCACCAGAAGAAGAGGGGCGGTTTTTTTCACAAAACTTTTTTCTGCTGCTAGTAACAGCTTGAAAAGGTATTTCACCAAATAGCGTGACATACCTGTCGACCTTGGCTCCATGTCGCCCTGTGCCTCCGCCTCTCTGTTCCTCCGTCGGTCGTCTTTTCACTCACGTCGGCATTTTTGAAAGCTTTTTTTTTTCTTCCAACGACACAGATTCAGGTAGAGGACGTTTTAAAAAGACGCGGGTTGATAGCAGCTCACCGCGGTTGCTCAGTGTCCGTCTCTAGGCAGCTGTGACGTTCAACGTCGGTCCGTAGCGTTCTGGAGTCCTTTAGCTCCCGCCACGACAGTGTCGCTGACTTTAATATTTCCTGTTTTATTTTGGCCATTATTGTCGAACTTAGTTGATGTGTTGATACCAGGCGTGTCTATCGGACAGTTATGTATCGGTTCAATACGGGACGCACATGTAATGGCCAAATATGGGACGACTCCGTATTTTACGGGATGGGTGGCAATTCTATTCAGGGGTGCTGAGATGCGCCACTGGCTCAGAGGAAAAATGAAGACCCCCAAATGACCCATTTTATTTTGTCCACGCTTTGTTGTGCTGGCAGATTCACCGGATGCAGTCACACGCCAGCTTAGATGACAAACAAGAATCCATTGAAAACATGTGGGGTTACTGCAGGGAATCTTATTATTCCAGGAAACTAGAAGTCATAGTCAGAACTTTGGTCAAAATTTGAAATTTAAGTTGATTACCTAACCCACCAGAGGGACAGTCAGAGTCACATCACTCTCCATGGAACAACGATGCTGTCAAGCATGTCTGGATATAGCGAAGCTTTAATAAAAATAAAAACCCTCACACACACAGATGTACATGGGGACTCATCCAAACTCAAGCTTGCCTGTCTGAATTAAAACCTGGACAACATCCCACAGTCATTAAAACCAGATTGCTTTGAAGACATACACCACGCAAACACATGGGATCTAACACACACACACACGCACGCACGCAGACAGACACATGTGCAAAATGCACCTTCTGCATCAGGGCAAACAGTTTGTTTCCACTGTATAGTCTCGCTGTCTGTTCACAAAGGAACACAGATTATCATGCGCTGAACTGGCTGCTGTAAGCGTTCAGGAAAAAACAAACCAATTGGCAGATGTGACAGACAGAGATACATAAAGACAGACACAAACACAGACACAAACACTCGCATGGCAGCAAACATGAAGTGAGTAATGTGATATAATATCAAACAGGTGAAAAACTGAATCATGAGTGGTGGGAACAGTGCTGTATAAGCAACTCCATTGGCCAGACAAAGCCTAAGAAAAACTCAAAATAATTCTGCCTATAGCTACAGACAATAGCAGACAGAACAAAAGCCATCACCATGTTCACATTAGTGAGCCAACAGGACTATTTTTACATTTTACTGAGTCACAAAGAGTCTTCTCACAGCAGCGTGTCACTTTTCTCATATCAAAGCTGCATTTATAGCAGACAAAGCTTTGAAAGTGGGCCATGGCTCATAAAATGCCTTTATGTTCCTCCCCGGTACACTAAAAAAAACCCCAGAAACAATGCATTTTAAGTCTGCAAATGGGCAAGTGTGTGTTTGCGTGTGCATATGTGCGTGTGTTGGCGATCAAATTATAATTGTGTAGCGAGTGTGAGCATCATGTGTATTTGTTTACTCTGCGTCTGTGCATGTGCGGATACACCCCACTTCCCCCAGTGTTTAGATTTGAGTAGGTGTTGTTGATTTAATTCTCTCGACTGACATTGTTCTTTTCCGATCTTTTTAATGGCTGACAGAATGTGCAGCCTTAACACTCGGCTAACAACCCTGGCTTCCTGAATCGCGTGTAACCTAATCACCAACACCATCTGTTAATTATGTTAATACAAAAATGCTTTGGCTGTTGTTCACATCCATTCTCTGAATTAGCACCCCACCTCCCCAATGAGCACCCTTCTCTTTCTCATGCCCAATTCTTTCCATCATTTTTTGGGCTTCTGTTTTCCTTTATTTAAAATCTTGTTGTCATTATCCTTTCTAATTCTATCTCCCTACTTTCCTGATTTGCCTTTTTTTTCCCATTCCTGCTAATCCTTAACATTCTAGCTTTGTTCCATATTCTAGTTACCAACCTCCTTCTGAATGGTTTTGTGTTTTTTCCAACTCTCACATGTACAGAAAGTGTCAAAAATCTCAAACTCTTTATTCCTCCTCCTCACAATCCCTTTGCTTACACCCTTCAGCTTGCTATCCCCTGTGGAACTGAGTCAGAGGCTAAGCTGCTTGGAAATCCCTTGAGGGATTGTCTGAATCCAACTTATTTTGAGTGATATCGATCCACTCTTCTTCTTAATTGTTATTCGCAATGCTAATCTGTATTTATAAATCTAAGTTTCTATTGATCTGTTGCAAACATAATAAACTTTGTCTTGCATTCATGCATAAAATAAGCATTATTGTAATGCAGAGAAAACATCATTTAATAGTCATATATAGCACTGGTCATTATATTAACCCAATCGAACAGCAATCCCAGCAAAGCACATTCCCCAGGGAGGACATGTTCGAGCCGAGGGATGAAGTGGGCACTATGCCCAGAAGAAACAATGCTCACAGAGGCAAAAAGATCAGAGTTAAGAAGAAATGGAAACTACAGAATACAAGGTAAAATAAAGTGGTAGAGGAATGTTTATCACATCATTATGAGTGGCACAGCTCAAAGGATTTTTGGTGATAGAAATATATTTGGGTGTAGAAGTTTTTTTGCAATTCTTATATGAAAAAGACAGAAGTTTACAGGATCATAAGTTTGTCTGAAGTGCATTGCCTTAAGCTGTTAAAGACATACAATTTTTTTCCCCCTAAGTTAACCTTTTATCAAATACACTTGACAATATGTCAATTTATTGATATTGTTGCATTATTAAATTCATAAATGATTTCACAATTTCCAAAGTAAAACATCAAACTTGTCACGCCATCTATTGTCTTCAGATTACCCCAGATCATATCAGGAGACGACGCGATTTTATTTTGTCCCATTTTGGCTCCGTCTGAGGGATCCCAACACTTGTTGAGGACAAAAAACATATACAGCCCCTGTCCTATAAAAAGGCCTCTTCAGTTGCCTTCTTAGGATCGTCATGTCCTTAATGACAAAGAATCTGCATCAGAATACTTGAGGATAAAGTACCATAAATACTGAAACATCTTTGCTTGAAGCCATTACTGATCCCCAAATCAAAAGAAGCAGTTCATATTCTTTTCACAGTTGACAACCAGGGCCTCAGCCAACTCTCATCCGGTCTGCTTCTGGAAATCACTGCAGTCGTGGTCTCAAGGTGCCAACAGAAGCACATCTTCAGCAAAAAGCAAAGATTAGGTCTTAATGTTCCTAAATCCAACACCATTCTCTCCCCATATGAGGAGATCCAGTTAATGAACATGATAAGCAGCATTGGTGACGAGACACAGGCATGGCAGACTCTGTTCGTACAAAGAGCAGCAATGACCAAGTCTCCAAAACACAAATAGATAATTCTCTTGGATTCCCATGAAGCAATTCTGCGAGGGATGAAGGTCTGATCCATAGTTCCACAGAGAAGATGAAATCTGCATAACTCCTGAATCTCAGAACTGGTAAGAACTTCTCTTCTATCATCCCTTCGTAATTTTCCACAGGGAAGGGGAGAATGATTACAAGGCCTTCTTTGGATTATTTTCATCCATTTTTAGTGCCCCGCATTTGGGATCTCCACCTCCTCCAAGACAACAAGGTGGAAGATAAAGATCCTTCTGACTCCCGTCGCCTAATAACATCCTCAGTCCAAGTCTGAAATTTCTTCCTGCAAACCAACAATCGTCTGAGATGATCCTTGATTCAATTTCTTAAGTTAGCCAGTGCTTTTCCATGGCTTGCTAAATTCCTCCCTTACCAAATGTTTCGCTTATGAAACCAAATAATCCAAAAACTAATGAAAATATTTCACCCAGCACATTCAAAGTCTGAAATATTGCCAATGTATTTTTAATTAAAGGACAAAGTGAAGTAGGAAATCAAAGAAATATAGTCTCTAAGGTAAGATAAATGATACATGTTCAATACAGTTTTTCCATAAAACATTTAATGATATTAAAATTATAAATTACTCTGACTCTGGCAAAGACTTTCAGTTTTTTTTTTTTTTTTACTTGGTTTTATTATAAAAAAGGACTTTCCACTCTATGAACAGTTTAATAGTTTGTACAATAGTCTTGGCATTATGAATAAACCTTTTCCTCTCCACCTGCTGTACTTATTCGGAATCAGAATCATAATTTTCCGAGCTTGTGAGTATCAACAAGGTATTTGACGTTGGTGTCACATGCTCAGTGTGTACAAGAAAGCTCCAGTTGGCTCTGACTACACCAGCGGTCCACCTTCTGTCTGTAAGCATACTCATTACAGTCCTGGATCAATCCCACAACTGTAGTGTCATCTACAGTCCGCATATGTTTCACAGATGGGTTTGCTGAGGTGCAGCCATTTGTACAGAGATATAAATTGAGTGAGGAGAGAACATCTCCCTGAGGGACACTAATACCGATTCTTGTGCAGGAGTCTGGGTTATTGGTGTTGAAGTCTCCAAACAGGATCCTGTAGGTATCTGTAAATAGTAGATGGTGCAGGATGAAGTGTAGTCCCAAGCAAACTGCAGCATCTCTTGACCTGCTCAGGAGTGGGAGTGGGATGTCCCTCAAATGTTTCAACACCAGTTGCTTAAAGGATGTTTTGACCACAGTGGTCAAGGCAACAGGACCAATCCTTTTTGTCCCACAATTGGGGAATGGGTTGCCTGTAAAGTAATGGAAGCAGGGGGAACCTCACACAGTTCCAAAGATTTGAAAATCTTAGATAAGATGGGGGACAACTGGCCAACACAAGTTCTTAGGTATAAGGAAGAAACACCATCAGTCTGATGTGCTGCTTTATTGCAGGCATGGAGTCAGAAAGGAGAGAGTAAAGAGTACTAAAGCTGTTGGTTGGGGTTCTAGGTAGTCCATTAGTGTGGGAGGGAAGTGTGAATGGCTGTTTTTCAAACCTGCAGAAGCAGTTGCTGAGACCATCAGTCAGTCATGGGTCAACACAGTGTGAGGGGATATTGGCACCTGGCTAAACAAGGGGAGGGAGTATATAGCTCCTATGCTTCTTAGGTCTGGAACCAAAGTCTAAAATGCATGAAATCTGCTGAAACTGAAATTTAAATCAGTACTGAAAATATTCCAGTTTACTGCAGTTTATTCATAAATGCTTAAGATCAAAGCTGTTGTTCTGCAATTTGATAA